GTTGGCTCGTTTTTGGCGCTCCGTAAAGCTACCAGAGATCGAACAGGGGCACTGTCTTCTTTATCGGAAGCCTGTGGCCAAAATTCACTACTCATATCGTCAGCTGTCCGAGCTTTTGTCTCCGAATCCACCTGAAATAGACCAATCAAAACTAACAACATAAATTGGTGCATAGATGCGGGAAATCGGGGAGCATAAAACCAATTTTTGGCCCTGCGCCATGCTGATTCTCCGCTTACAAACTATTTTTAAAGCTTTAAATAGAAGTGATGTTTTGGCCATAATAAAAAGGTAAATTTTGGTACCGCGCGTGACAGTGTCGATGGATCGAAGGAACCAAATGGGCTGCTGGGTCAATACAGCAACGAAAGAGGATTTACTACACAAGATAATAATACGACTGCTTCTTAGCAAGGCTTTGCAAGCATGCTGTGTCTAAAATTCGACTTCATTGAAAACTCCTACAGGGCTAAATGCTACAATTCTTTTCAGAAAAAATTATAGCCACTGTAAGTATCGCCACTAAAGGATGCTCCTACAGAATACGTAAGCGGTAGGGGAAATGCGGTACTTCTAATAGTCTTTGGAACAATAATCACCAAAGAAGGCCAGAATCAGCACTGACAGTAATAACTACGAGATGAGTCAATTCGGATATAGGAGTCGCGAAGAGGGGAAGTTACCAGCAAAATTCGTTGGCGCAAAAAGAGGCGATGAAATAAAATAATAGAAAGATTTGGCTTGAATGTCATGTGTATATGAAGACATTTAATTATGCAGCCCGTATTTCATCCCTTAGCTGTAAACACAGACAGAACTAAGCATGCGGGTAGGAGAAGGAATCATCAGTACAGCCTCCTACCTGCCATGTTTTGAATAGTCATGTAACTAATTTGCAAGACAGATATATAAAAGAAAGAGATATCAGTGAAAGAGCAAATAAAGTGAAGGAGGAAAGAGAGCAATGAAAGGCGAAGAAAGCGAAAAACAAACCTTGAAAACTTTCGGGTAAAGGCGCGATAACAGTGCCCTGAAGTGCTCGACAAGTGTATTGAGCAATCCAGGCATGTTGCTGAGCATTGTTGGTGGAGCCGAATCGTCGTACAGCATGACGTTTAATGCATTCAGTGCCCATGTTGTTTCCGCTTCTAAACCACTACGCAGAGCCATTACTAAACGTTTCCCGCTGACCTGAAAAAATGAAAATAATAATTAAAAATAAATTCATTAATAACAAAATTAATTAATTTAAATTACTTGATTTAAATTAAATTTAAATAAATTGAAAATAAACAAATAGAAATTGAAAATAAAAATAAATTCGGTAAAATGCTCGTCATTGTGACAGTCCGAAAAACTAATTCAGCGTGAGCAAAATCCTACAAATACATGCTGAAGGCAGATATCTTGTACATCTGGATGAAAACAAATTCCGAAAAACTTTAGCTCGACGAAAACTCGAAATTTATTTTCCATTCAAGTTCCTAAGTAGTCCCAGTAGTAGCAACTGCCAACAACAACAACCCCTTGCAGGGAAGGCTCTCGACAGTTCGTTCTTTCAAGAGGTGCTTAGAAGCAAGCTGATGGCGACTCTCCTAGCATATGCCTGTACTAATTTACAACTTAAACGAATTAAAGAACTGATTTTTTGCTTTGCTGAAGTAGTTCAAACCCCGCCTTCAGGATCAGAGTGGTGCTATCTGTTACTAAAAACAGCCCAGCAATTATAAGCATCGATAAGAAAGTCTATTCTCATTATGTATACGGCGACTTAATGGACCGAAACATTTCTTATCAATTACAAATATTTTGATACTCCCCTTCCTCCTTTTTTCACTTCGTTTTTCTTTTCTTTTTCCTTCTCCTCATTTTCTAGCTTTTCTTTAAATACACATTAATTCGAAGTTATTTCCACCAGAAACAACAAAAAGTATATTCATACCAAAAAGCATTGATGGAAAGCTTACTCGTATCAGTTCTTTGTACAGCAATTTTCGCCTCCTACGTTGACTGATCGTTGTCGCTTCAACACTACCCGCGGGGAATTGCATTGGAGGTGGTTGCTGGAACTGCGCGAACATCGGGTGAAATGGTACTGCAGCGCCGGCCCCACTAGCTCCAGCAGCACCACCACCACTGACCGGCTGTGTCGGGGGAATATTGAGGCCTGATGACGAGGGTTGGCCCAGTGGTCCCAACGTCGCTGCACCTGGGGGGACACCATGCATTCCCGAGATACCCGTTGATGTGGACGGCACCATATGAGGTGGATAAGCAGCACCGGGCGTTCCAACCATCATCGCACGACCACCCTGCAAAATTCCCTCTCTGTAGAGACAC